ATATTGGGTCTGGATACATACGGAACACAAATTTTCTGCGTTTCGAACAGATAAACATTGATCGACAGTGCTAGTATGTACGGCTGTTGGAACGGCACACAGTAACCACAGCCTCGCGCGCTTGTAATGCTAGACAACCACCAAACCATTCAGAATAACCAGCTGGAACCCCGCGACCTAACTTTTAATGAGAAAGCCCAATAATGACGTGCTTATTGGAGTGATCGTTTTCCAACAAATATTTATTGAAGTTGTTGTAATGCAACAAATGTTGATCGCCAAATGATAAACCCAACGTACCGGAATAAAATTCGAAGTTGCAACACAACATCGCATTACAACAAGAAACTATGGGTGTTGGGAGACAACATCGAATACGATATGAATACGAAGTTACCGACAGTGGATATGCAACATCGAACACGATATACAATTTAAGGTTACCTTTGTTGGGATCCAAATCGAACGCGATACGTGACAATGGTTGTTCGCACGATAAAATAATGAGGGCGAATAAGTTTTACAAGTCACATGCGTGTAGTTGCTTCTTACACGCACATTTATCGATATTGACCCACATTTCCGGGTAATCCTACGTCGTACACAAAATACACGACAGCATGCGAGCACATTTCACCCACCACTCTTCGTCGCCTGTTTCGCGAGATTAACACGCTGTATAAAAAACGACGTGAAACATACGTCCATTTGCGCCATCAAACGATACAAGATAAGTTTCCATCACCAGCCCGCGCGCGCGCCAGCTCGCGCTCCGGAGGCAGTTCGTTCGAAGGGCGCGAGCCATTGTTGCCACAGATCCCCAGAAAAAAGGAGTAGATTTTAGCTTGAAAAATCAGCAAAAAGCAGTAGATTTCATATTTCGGTAGCCTGTTTTTTTTTTCTATTTGCTTGTTTGTGTGGTACGGTTATTGCATTGATAATTTGCCCGACACATGCAAAAAATGCCACAAAAAACACAATGGGACAGGAAAAAAAAAAGTGGAAACTGTATGCAAAGCAAACTTCCCAAGACCTGTTCCTGCAATATCTGGAAGTCAGCTGCCACATGACTATTACAGTATTACCAGAAATCGCTTAGCCTTTATCGCTTAGTGGTCTGCTCAATCAAATAGTTTCACACTTCTTTGTTCTTGTGAGTGTAAAGTTTGTTGCCAGAACTTCTTTACAAAGTCTCCATATACCGAGGTGTTTGAAAGGGAAGGGCCCTCCAATGATTTTTTGACTGGTCGAAAGCTTGCGCTGAGATAGACCTCGGGCAACGTAGTGACACGGAGAAGAAATCGTCGAGGCAAACTTCGCGTCATTTTCGAAGCAAATTAAAATTTACTCAAACCGCGACGCCTACGGCACGGCATGAAAGGCGGGAAGCGAGCTGCGCCCTCTCAGATGGCCGACCGTGCCGTCGCTCTGTAGCGAATCTAGCTTTGAAGAGCCTTCCTTTCCCTTTCCCATTTTGTACAATAATCCAACCCTCGTTTAATTTAACTATTCCCTGCATTCTGTTGTCCCCTGTACGCGTATACTATTGGCTCTCTTTTTCCCCCTCTATTTCTTTTACAACGCCTACACACACACACACACACGCGCACACACACACACGATATGACCCGCCGAAGTGCGCCGAATTACTCGAGGGTGCGCCTTGGAGCAAATAGTATAGTTTTGGACCACATGTAGGCAAAAAGGACCAAAATCAATAGATTCTGTGGCATTATCACTGAATCGGGAGAAATCTGAAAAAATCAGTAAATCTACAGATAAATCAGTAGGAGTGGCAACACTGGCGCGAGCCTGCGCTGTAGCCGAGGCCGAGCCAGCAGAGCGGCCGAGAGAGCCGCTGGAGCAGTGTTGCCAATTTATCGGTTTTCCCGCTACACGTAACGGTTTTTGGTTCTGTTTAGCGGGATAAATTATTGTTCTGCTGGCGACGGGATTTTGAGCCGATTTTATGTAATCTTGGCGGTGTTTTAGAGCTTTAGAAATTGTATTGTATTGTATTGTATTATATTATATCGATTTACTGTCAACTATGGACCTGTCGTATCTATAATTAGCCACAGTCGTCTTTGTTTACTCTCAGTAATGTTCTGGTTAGTGAGAGTAACGCCTGTGACGTCATCAAAATATTAAGGCGGCGAATATCGGAACATGCCTCTCCGTTTTGTGCGCGCACGTTTGAACAGCATGCATTTCCAATGCTCCTTTGACGTTTTTGTAACTGCCTCGTGAAATGGGCCGGGTGAAGTCCGCTCATAAGTTTAAGAAAACCTAGCTACAAGACCCCAAACTTAAAGATTGCCTACTGGATGTTCCTGGTGATAGCAGATGAACCAGGTACAGCTATTGCAGAACAGAACTATTTGCACAGCACGTGGATTTGGTCGCGCACGCTGCAACGAAGAAACATTTTTCGGCCGCTGAACCGAGTTGAACGGAAGTCTGACCAGTCACGCTCTGCTGAAGGGTCCCTTGCCATGCTCGTATGCGCTCACTCAACAATTTTGACTTCGTATCACCTGGATGAACTGTGTCGCGGCGTGACCGATTTCTAGTCGCAACAAAAGGAAAGCTTCCTTTCAGATGACATTGATATGATTGATACTGTTATGATACCTTTGGGCAAGAATTAAAGCAAAAAAAAAAATTCTTAAAAGTGATTTTTGCGCTGTGTTTTGGATTTAGCGGTTTTTAGCGGTTTTCGGGATTCCGATTGCGGGTTTTCAATTTTCGAGTTGACAACACTGCGCTCGAGCCGCCAAGCTGAGCCACCAAGCATGCCCAGTTCGCAGAGTGCGGGCGTCGGTCGCGCGACTCTGCGCCGCCTGCACGACCGACGGACAGTTCGTCACGCTCTTTGCTCGTGAGCATCAAGTGAAATCATCACACTTTCAATTGCTTCGAAAGGTACGTATACACGACTTTATTACGTGCAGCAGTCAGTGTATCGATGTACAAGGATCGAAGTAAACATTGAAGGACAGAAAGGAGACGTAAAGTTTTGAAATGACAGCTGTGTGTCCCCTGTGTAAAGCCCCTAGCTGTGCTCTGTTGCAGTCGTCATTTCGACTGCGTGTACTCCAATGTAACGTCAGTCAGTTTTCACACTCGGCTAGCTTTGTTATCTTGTTATCTCATGCGCGAAATAGACGTAGAAAGCAGCGTCGCGTCTCTTTCGGATACTCAGCCTCCAGCCGTCTTCCTTCCGGCGTGCTTTCTGCGGCGACCGTTCGGTGCATTGGATTCACGTGCTCGTTCGAAGAGGCGTTGTTTGAAGCTGACGAGTCGCCGACGTGTTACCGGAGCTTCTCTTTACGAAAGTCGCGATCGACGTGGCTCTGAGCTCGTACTTTTTTTCCCCCCGGGTAGACCATGAGTGCCGACCACTGATCTGTGGTGCCGACTGGCGCCGAACGAAGTTGAGAAACGCTAGCAAGTGAGTCAGATTTTTGTGAGGCCGCCCAAGTACCCTGCTATCAACTGCGCAAAGCAAATGCTGTAAAAAAAACACACAAAGAAACGCGTTTTTTTATCTTTTTGTTGGCCATGTTTCACTTCAATTAACGCAAAGTGAATCGCGGCTATACGTAAGTTGACTCATCACTGTGCCTAGATTGTAAGATTGTCTCACTACAGCGGAGCCTTTTGGGTGTGACCTTATTCTGATATCGTTATATCTTGCCTTTTCATCTTGGCTGCACACTTCTAGACGACCTTCTACACATTGCGCTCCTTGTCGACATGCCTCGAGACTAATCGGTAGTTTGCTCACTCCTTGGTGCGCATATTTCATGTTCAGCATCAGTTCTCTGAAGGAGGCACCATGAAACCCTGGAATTTGTTCAGAGACACCTCAACTCAGAGACACCTCAACATACTGTATTAGAGTGTTGTTTTGTGTGTTGTAGTTTCGTACAAGACCAAACTGCACTTTGTTTGTAATATACCCTATAACTGTTCAGTACAATTAAAGTTCCAGTGAAACATTGGCCACAAGAGGTGACTAGACCAACGTGGCCGAAACATTCCTTGCATAATTTTCTCTACGGGTCATTTTGAATGTTGACAAGTTTTATTTTGAATAATGAGTGTTATGCACATATGTTCCTTCTACTTTTCGTACAGGTGCTTCAGTTAGATAAGCCGCAGCAAAGGCAGTAAGACAGTCATGCGGTCACACCAAGGATAACTGCATTCCTGCTCGAGTCCCGAATCATGTCACCGAACTTCACTGAACATAATAGTACATTCTCTTTCCTCAACTTTTCCCCCTGAAATGTGTTTGTCTGTTGTTGTTGTTTTTTTGTTGTTGTTTTTTTGTAAAAAAGGTACTACAATGTTTAAACACTCAAATGTTCCTAAATAGTCTCTGTACCAGACGATAGGGTGTCTTAGGCCCCCTTTAGACGGGGCAACTTTTCCAGCAATTTCGGGGTTGCTGGTGGGTAGTTCCATAGCTTTCCCTAGATCGACACGAATTCCTGAGATCTGGTCCGGCTCGAAACGGACGAGCAATTCGGATAACTCGGAGACGTTTGAAGCGGCAGCAGCCAATCAGGAATGCGATATTTCCACGGGACACACCTGTGGTGGTGATGATGACAGCTGAAAACTTAGTTCTGGTTTGACGTTTTTGGAAATAAACTGTTTCAAAAAGATGAGTTAGTATTCTCAGCACAATTTAAAGATATACACACATGTTTTTTTTTATGTAACTGTGCATCTAAATAGTGCAACAGAAATCAAATTTCATGATGATGATGGCGAGTCGTAGCAATTCGGTTGCTGTGTGTGAACGCGGTGTTGCGACATCAAGTCGCAGGGTGAAATTGCCCCGAACCCTCAAGGCGAGAATACTGGCCTTAACTCAGGAGAGCCAGGAATACGCGGAAAAATTGGCCAGCGAAAACTGGATGCAACTCTGCGATGACATGAACGGTCATTTACACACGGTCAGAGCCTTGCACGTATTACGCGCGATCATGGGGCACCGTAAACCCAGGAACACGCTCAAGAAACTCATGCTGAGCACAGGAGCCACCCTCATAGGAGAAATCAGGGACACAATCTACCCAGACGAAACGCGGACAATGGCACAGCAAATACCAACGGCAGAAACCCGCTTAGATCGAGAAGTCTAAACCGCGCAAGAAAGCGAAGAGATCAAAGGGATAGACTTGGACTTCACCGATGCAGAACTAGAAAAGGCCTTATTCCAGCTGAAGCGCAACACGGCGCCGGGGCCGGACAAAATAACATACGGAATGCTCAGAAACATCCCTCACAACAAGCTCGACGACCTTCTACGACACATCAACGAGGTATGGGCGACGGGAGAGTTACCAGAAGAATGGAAAGAAGCGCAGGTAACCATGCTTCCCAAACCAGGCAAACTTCCCAACACACCAGCAAACCTCCGACCCATATCCAAGACGTCATACATGGGGAAACTAATGGAAAAGATGGCTTTAACCAGGCTATACTGGCACCTGGAAGCCACGGATCAGCTGGCGCACACCCTAGTAGGGTTCAGAAAGCACGTCAGTACGCAAGACGTAGCAAAAATGATCAAAGAACAGGTGTACGACAACCCCAGCACGGTTGAACAGCGCACCATAGTTGCGGTGGACCTAAGAAGAGCATTCGTTAACGTCACGCACGAGGCTATCCTACCTTCGCGAAACGAACCCTGGAAATAGAATGTACAGATACGTAAAGTACTTCCTCAACGACAGACCGGTGAGAATACTGGACCCTGAGGGTCAACCCTCTCAACCGTATCCCCTATGTGGAGGAACACCAGAGGGCTCCACACTATCGCCGATGCTCTTTAATACAACAATGAGAAACCTCCCGACTAAACTCAATGCCGTCCCAAATCTCCACCACGCTATATACGCGGATGACATTTCCATCTTGTGTACGACAGGCCCAACTCGGGACAAGAAGAAGAAACGATACAAACGGGGCTGAACACCAGCCACGAACACGCAAACGCGATAGGGCTCCAGTGCTCACCAGACAAATCGGAATATGTCGTAGTCATAAACCACCCACGACAGAAAATGGCAGAGGAACAGCGTAAACTTATGAACCTCCATATAGGAGGCACGTTAATACCCCGTCGGCCAGCTATAAAAATACTAGGATTTATCTGGCAACAGGACGGCAAAAGCACGGAGTGGACCGCCAAGATGGTAAAACAACTCATTCAGATCTACAACATGATAGCACGTATCACGCGCTACAATCGCGGAATGAAAGAGCACGAATTCAGGAAAATGGTTGAAGCGACAGCGTACTCCACAGTCACGTACTCTTATTCATACACACAACTAACCCAAACGCAAAAGAGGAAGATTAAAGCAGTGCTGCGGAAATGTCACCGTCTAGAACTAGGAACGCCCAGGTACGCAGCAACTGCGCTAGTGAACGCCACAGCTATCCACAACACCCTTGAGGAAAAATTCGAAATCCAACAAGAGGCGCAGAGACACAGACTGACCACATCCCAACAAGGGCGGAAAATCTTGAGCAGTCTGGGATACTCAACTGAGCGACTCCCAGAGATCCCCACCCCGCCACCACCGTGGGAGTCCATCCCACATCTTACAGTACGCCCCATCCCCAAGCATATGCACCCAGAAGTAGACTCAGAAAGAAGAAAGAGCAGAGCGACGCATCTAAAAGACCTTTGCCATGACATCTACTACACGGACGCAAGCTTCACAAACAGTTATGCCACCACCGCATCGGTGGGTCCCAAAGGCCACGTCGTCAGGCGTCATGCCAACGTCCCATCGGTGACAGCAGCCGAAATACAGCCGATCGCCGAAGCCGCAACCCTCCACTCACACACAACGAATGAGCTCACGTTTAGAACGGACAGCCAGGACGCGCTCAGGGCTTACGCTAAAAACGACTTACCTGAACACATATTAGGACTCCTCACCGAATACATGAACAATCACCCCCCCTTGCGCATCTACCTCGAGTGGGTACCAGGCCACCAGGCAATCGAAGGGAACGAAAGGGCGCACGCCCTGTCTCGAGATAACACAGAACCAAGCGTACTAATCGGTTGGCCGCAGGCCTACGACCCAAGAGAAGACAGAGCGGAGCAGAAAAAAAAAACGAAGGACCTTCCTCAAGGAGATGAGAGAGGAGCAACGCGAATTCCCCACTCCACTACACAGTACACCGCGCAGACAAGCCACGTTCATACGGCAAGCACAAACAAACTCACTCCCGTGTGACATGACGCTACACTACATACACAACCTGGGAGGACTTCCCAAATGTCAAGTGTGGGGAGCACAACCTTTTGATAACAGGCATACATACTGGGAGTGCCCGAGGGCACAGAGCTCGCCATACATTCTTGAAGAAACCCAGCTGCCACTCCACATCCCCCACACGTGGGAGAGCTGGGCAGCACCGCCACAGGACCTGCAAGCTACCTTATGGAAATAACTGCAGAACCATGTCGAACCTGTCCTCGGATTAACACCATGCAACAACAACGAACATGCAAGCTAGGACGGACACTTCTCGTAACCTGACTACAAACACCATATAGAAGAGGTAAAACCAAAAAACGCGGCTCGGACAATGAGCTGCTGTAAATAAAGTATGTTCCTTCCAGTGGTGTCACGTGAAAATATCGCATTCCTGATTGGCTGCTGCCGCTTCACACTTCTCCTACTCTCTCATGTTGCTCGTCCATTTCGAGGTGAACGCGATCTCGGCAATTCGTGTTGATCTGGGAAAACCTAGGGAACAACCCGCCAGCAACCTCAAAATTGCTTGAAAAGTTGCCCCGTCTGAAGCGGGCCTTAGGGAACTCAAATCAAGGGCAGTGGAGCTCGCTCAAGCCCACGTGGATACTTTTTTTAATTTCCTTTTCTTTGTTCTAGTACACACACACACACACACACACACACACACACGCACGCACGCACGCACGCACGCACGCACGCACGCACGCGCACACGCACACACACACAGATATATATATATTTATATATACTTTTTTAGCGTTTTAACGTATGGATCCATAATTTACACACTAATTCACATTCAGAAGTGCTTTTATTCACACTCTGTGGCTCCCTAGTGTTTGCAATAGCTTCTTGGTGAGCTACTGCAAGCTCTGCAAAGGAAGGGGCATCTTCCCACCCTTTGCACGCTGTAAAGCTGTAGCTTGTACAGCTCTAGCAGGTCGCACCTCGTACACTGGCTCCATCATGAAGCATAGGTGCTGCATGAGTCGCACCACACCGTAAGGCCATGTACGGTCGGGTCACAGCACCAGGGACCATTCGTCACTGCACTCAGGTAAGGTATGGTGGCATAATCGGGGCATGAAGCAGGGGTACAACTTGGAAATGCTGATCTTCATTACATTTGAAACACATTTTTTTTTTACTTTTGTGTCGAGTTGTCAGCATTTTAAGGGTGAAAAAGAAAGCAGCAGTGCGAGCAAGAAAAAAAATTGAAAGCTACTCTTACTGTGAATCTATTACAAGCACCTGGAAGCCGCGGAGTATAATTAAAATGCTTCTAAAAGTGAATTAGCGTATAAATTATGTGCTAGTGCCTCAAAAATTGAAAAAAAAAATTCAATATGATTAATAAGTGTCAAAATATACACTAGGAGGAATTAAACCAGAACTACTGTATTTGCATGATTGTAAGCCTACTCGATTGTAGGTCAGCCCCCCTCCCCCCCCCCCCCCCCCCCCCCTCCGCACACACACATTGCATTAAAAAACACCTTTAGATGCACATTGTATTGCGAAAACGTGAAAACGGTAAAGTATTTGTTTTGGAAGCCGAGCCTCCAGTACGCGATCGATGCCTTCTGTCGTGATTTGGCTGCGAATGCACGCGCGAGTGGCGCGAGGTGCATGAGATGCCCAGGCGTTATTGAAACTAAGAAGTTCAAGCTGGAGGCGGGACAATTGAAGCTGCTGAGTGTCGTTCTCACTCCGTCCCCGACTAGACTACGACTCGTCCCCACTGGTGCTGTCAGCAATGTCAGTCCCGGCGTCATCACTGCTACGTTCTTGAAGCACGTCGTCGGCGTCGTCCAACGAAATCTTGCACTTCGCAAATGACAGGAACAACCGCATCTTCCGTGCTTGCTTGGCGATCGCGTTGGACGCTACGGGTAGGGACCGATTGCACACTTATGCACCGTACGTTGCAAGCCTGACCTCAAACTCCGGAAGGCACCCCCCCCCCCCCCCTCCTATCCAGACTTTGGCCTATGGAAGCCTCTCCGTTTGCCGTCACAGTTCAAGAACTCGAGCCACTGCAGGCTCCACGGGAGCATCAATCGCTCTCGCGGGTCGAACTTGCGTCCAACAGCGCTGTGCTGGTTGCTTTTGAGTGAAGAATGGCCATAAACGGGGCACCGAAAACCTAAACTGCCCGGATCACGCGTGTCAATACAAAATAAACGTAGTTAGCGCTCCACCGTGATAAAGACACTCGATCAGACGATGTGCGACCTTGAATCGCGCAAAATACTACGTAGAGAATCCGCGGGGTGAGTGAGCCGTGAGGCCGTTCAAGCGGCTTCTTGAGTGGCTCTTGCAAGAAGTGCCGCAAACCCCTGGAAGTCGGGCGCGTTAATTTGCAAATCGCTATCAATAATACTCGTTCACGCAAGCAACAAAAAACAAAAATAATTTGTAAAATGAGCGCACAGTATAGTGCAATGCTAGAGGTACAGCCGGCTGAACTCGTTACAAGCGGGGTGTTCATGATATCGCAATCGTTTCATTTTTGCCGGCAGTGGAATGCTTTGGTTCGATTATAAGTCGAGCCCCCAACTTCAGATTTTCAAAAATTGAAAAAGGGTCGACCTACATTCATGTAAATATGGTACACAGTCTGTAAGTTTGAAATTTGACACCTTAAACCACTCGGCCACCACACAATAGACCCTTTCCGAAATTCAGTCTGGCCACTTTGATCACTATCATCATCTGTGGAACGGCATTTGTGCCATACCAATGGCGGCCTCCTAGGGACTGATAAACAACCTCCTTGCTGACAAAGGAAGACGTTGAAGATGCTCCCAAGCGGATGATGCGAGGCCTGTACATTCGGAGGTTTGTACGCCGCGCCGTAGGAATGGAACACAAGAGCTATGTAAGCGTTCATTTTTGATAACTCAGATTCAGTCAATCTGTGGATGGCACACAATCGGCTTTAAAGCCCTTTGGGGTATAGAAATGGTCTCGAGTATTCTCGAGGCATTAGTGTGGGTTGGAGCTTTGTTCTAACTGCATGTTCTTGGTCACAATCGAACTGAAAGGGATCGAGAAAGAACTCCTATTGAACAATTCTTCGCGTGCCTTTGACTTGCGACAGTGACGGTGCCGATACAATTTCATTTCCGCCATTGATATGGCAAAACCTAAACTGCTATACGAACAACCAGATGGCACTGAATTTAGGAAAGGGTCTATTGTATTTCCAGGTGGTTTATCGAGGTATATAAATTTCGTTTGCAACTGTCGGCTGCAAGAGAGATTGCCTTACATTCATCTACTTTACTATTCCCACCAAATATGACAAGTGACCAAGAATACCTCATTTGTCGGCCGAGGCACTCTGCCTGCATCAAGGCAAGCTAGCCTCTCTTGCTGTGCTCATATTTTGTTTCATCACCTGTTTAGAATTCTGTTGTCGCTCATAAAAAAAAAAAAAAAAGAAAACAGTCTGACTTATTCTGGTGTGCCTTTGGCAGTAAACTCTACTAAATGGGGCAACATATAATTGTACGTTTTTTTAGCAAATATGCATTGTTGTAGCAAAATGAGCTACACTATTTGACTAAGGTGAAACAGAACGAGCCTCTCCACCTGGGTCTGTTTTCATCTCTCGCAGACACTATTTCCTGCTTTTTGTGGTTTGTATCAGACTTTTGAGTCTCTGTCCGGTCAAAGCATCTGTGTTAGACTAAGGGTGGGTTCTTTAGGATATGTGCAGGTATTCTTCGCAGCAAATGGCTGCCAATCAGGAACACGAGTTTTTTTTTTTTTTTTTTGCCACCAAGAGCAAGTATTTTCAAGGTAACCTATTGCCCGATATATGAGTTTTGTGTTCCATTCCTCTTGGATGCTATTTCCTATGTGTAGTGGTCTTGCATTAGTATTTCGTTGTCTCCCTTCTGCGAAAACACCCAAGTTGACTTGAGTAGATGACTAACTCCTGGTTCTTTCTTATACATATAGGTCTTGGTGGCAAGCACCAGCCAACCGAACCCAGAATTTTGCTCTTTGCCGCTCATGGCAAGTGTTTTTAAGGTGAGTGATTGATGCCTATCTGAATATGTAGACAGTTATTTCGTGTCTTTATAGTGGTGTTGTGTCAGGTTTTCGTGTCTCTGTCCGGCCAAAGCATCTGTGCTAGACTACGGTATGGGATTCCAAAGTTTTTATCGTATTATGGATATTGGAATCACATAACAAAGTAACGCAATACAATAAATGTAATGTTTTTCAATACACTGTCCATTTTGTCTTGTAATGCAATAAAAATATATTGTTTACCAATATCCATAATACGCTTTTCATATTGGGGTTTTCCATAGGGCAGCGTCTGTTTCAGAGCGCAAGGATTTCAAGCTTCCACAATGCTCATTACAAACACCATCGAACTTGTTGTTCGCAAGGTGATGACGTCATATCGCCGCTAATAGTCCTCGGTGCACTACGTCTTTGGTTGTGCCAGATGAATCTTTCAAATACTCGCCTTCGGCATGCGCCAGGCAGCCCCAAACAAGATGGTGGACACAAGACGGTGGACACGTTTACTTAATGGCGATGAAACCAATTGTTGATTTAAACACAATAGTAACGTAAAAAGGACAACATTAAGCAAAAGTCCAGTTGAGAGTTTTGAAAGATGTAATGTCTTGTTTATTTAGTTAAGATCATGAGAATAATCAGTCAGTTTCTCCCTGAACGATTTTGTTTCGCTAACTTGG